ATTTGTGGAGGTTTATTCCTTTTCACTGCGTCTCTTATGTTTTTAAATGCAATCTGTGTGAATGGCGCTTCGGCTCTTTGGATTAAGCAATGCATACATGATGCTGTTTAAAGTTACTTCCTTGTGTTGACAATTTAAATACACTGCATTATTGCGCCCTCGGCGCCCTCGGGAGACAAGACAAAAGTTTCCTTAAAGGCACAATATGTAATTTTCGCCGCTATATTCAAAATATTCAAAATAAACCCAAAAGCCATAGTTTGATGACGCCGTGACTGAGTGTGGAATCATGGGAGTTGTCTTCATCCCCACAGCCGAAGCAATCCGATGAACGTAGTAGAATGAAGCAGGGTGAGGCTGAAAGCCGTCGAAGCGAAACAAGGCCGCTGAACGAGCGTGTTAACACACGGCTCGAAAGCAGCGGAGCTTTTATTATGCCACAGTCGACTGCTTCCGCTCCTTCCGGTCGTGCGTATGTGGGGAAAAAAAAGCAGTGCTGTTTTATCATACTAGATACATTTGAAAGTTCTGTTATAATGCTACTCTGTGCGGTCGTCACCGGTCTATTAAAACGCATTAAAGGGTCTTTGGTGTTTCCATGTTTTCTACAAAACAAAACCAGAAATCGAGGGGTTATGACGTCATTGGCAGGCGACACAATGACACTATGGACACGGTCCGTGTCACTAGTTAAAATTGCTTATTTCTCTGGATTTAAACATTCTTCGAAACATTTAGCAAAATATATAACACCGTTCTAGTGGTTTTTGGATATTTTAATAAAAAAATCTTACATATTGTCCCTTTAAGACCTATTTAATCTGCATATAAAACATTAGAAATGAGATATTCGTTTAATTTTTATTTTGTGTGTTTGTTAAAACAAAAAATATTTGTTGTTTGTCTCAATAAATTGGGTTAATTTAAAAATACAGTGGTTAAATTTAAAAATGTTTTCTATTGCTCTTTGTTTAAAAAAGGTTATAAAAAAATGTCAATAATTATCGATACCGAACTATGTAAAACATTATATTGTTGAAACATTTTTTAGCTATATCGCCCAGTCCTACTTTGGGGTTTCTGGCGCATGCCTAAACTGTCAAATATAAACAAAAATGTCAAAATGTCAGTCTTGGTGAGTATTTACATAAAGACAATCAGTCTTAAGTGAACAAACAGTTGGGAAAGAAATCAGATGCATGGAAGTATATTAGATGCATTTAGTCTTAAAGCCTAATGCAAATACTTGCAGCTGTCTGTGTCATTAATGGTAATCAAACAACAAAAGATAAAGAGAAAATGACTCACTACTCTTGACTGAATAACTTTAGTAGCCTTAATAAGAATCGATGTATATTTAATTAATATAGTGAAGACTAAGCAATGTTTTAAAGTTTAACTCCGGTTTAAATGATCATATTGACAACTGATTGTTTAATTCAATACTATGTTTTTAAATTGTCCAAATAGATGCAAACCGTGATAAAAGCATCAGCAATTAATCGCAACATGAAAATTTGATACCTGCATATCCCTAATTGTAACGCAGTGTTACAACGTGCACCATCTGCGCAACTGGAATTTAAAACTGGTTAGTGTCTTCTGCTAGTAATTAAAGCATTAAAAAACGATCTGAACTGAGAAATAACAGATTGGAGATTAAAATAATAGCAGATTTGTCTCATTTTAAATGAATAATAAAAACTGAGATAAAAAAATTTACTTAAGCCAGAATTTAAATGTTACTATGGTAAAATAAATATTCAAACCACGTGTGTTACATCTAACACCCCGTTACTTTGTGCATCGCACTCATCGCAAGTTTATTGTTAAATTGTTAAATGCCCTTACATATCTCTGTCACCATTATAAGTGTTTGATCACCACATTTGAGTGATCATTGCAAAAAATGTGTTTATGTATATATATTCTGTTTATGTCTATACTGTATTCTATATATATAGTACCAGTCAAATGTTTGGACACACGAATGGGAAAGTAATATACACAAAGACTATCGGCCGATATATCGGTATCGGCCTTTTTTTACTCCCTAATATCGGTATCGGCCCCAAAAAAACCATATCGGTCGGGCTCTAGATAAGTCCACAGGCTTGTATGGATATTCTCGATACATCTCAAAATTGGGAAGACTGCGATTCAAATTGTGATTGTATGCATAAAAATAAATAAATCTTTGGCTGAACTGTCCCTTTAAGAAACTCAGGGTCAGAGTAAGGTCTGCTTACACAGTAGGGATGTACTCCCCGGGAAAAGCATTGGTGGTGTAGCTGATCAGAAGGCATGTTTTTCCCACAGCCCTGGAGAAAAAGAAAAAAACTAAAATCATTCATATAATACATCCAGTGACAGAACTGACCAAACTGATGTCATCTCCTATAATTGCTTTTCCAACTAAACAGTTATACATTTCAGAAATACAAAAGAAGCAGAGCAAATTCTTGTCTTAAACAAAACATTGTTTAAATATCATAAACAGCCGGTGTTATTCATATGAATCATAACAGTGGGTTTGGTTGACTTGTCCATTAATGACTGCAACACTCCTCCCACATTCAGACTGCATTTCATGACGTAACAGGTAAAGGAAACTCAGGGAAGGGTTAGTTTATCAACACGGAAAACCCCAGAAAAAAAGCAGTTCGATTCCAGTATATAACAAATAAACAGACATTTAAAGTCTAAAGTCATTCATAAGCTATTTTCGCTGCCACTAAAAGTGGAAAACACAGATTTAATGAGTGAGACGTGTGAAATAAGCACTTTTAAAACATCTGTGAGCTACAAAGACCGCATAAAAGTTCCCAAAATGAAGGCTCACAAGTCATGTAAACTCAAAACACTAACGTTACAGAGCAAACTTAAACGTCCGAGACGTGGAAAACTTTATCCCACGACTATTACAATACTGAAAATGAGGGTCAACTTACCCGTCCCCGACAACAACACACTTTATGGCCTGCATCGGTGTTCACTTGGCACGCTATCCCTTTAGCCTGTTACTCTGTGAATGAATCGATAAAAGCTGCTCTGACCGGGATAACCCGCCCTCAAAATACAACACGCACAAAAGAAGAGCGGAGTCGATAAAAGTTGAAAGGAAACGCGAGATTTCGCTCAAACTTGACGGGGTTAATTTAGCTGGCCGACCGCACTCCAGCGTATTTGCTGCTGCAGTTCCAGTAAAACAAACAGTCAGCCACCACCCAAAAATCTCAGATCCCGGTCT